CTGGCTCTCTGTCCCGTTTGCCGCTGTGCAGCCACACCTCAGGGCTTCTCCTCCCTCCCGCAGCTCCGGCACAAACCCTCTGCAGCAGGAATGCTCCACATCTGAGGGTGCAGCTCCTCACCCTGATGCAAAGGCAGATTGTTGTGGGGTGTTTACCCGTATTGGGATCAAAGGCAGCCTCACACTGCGGTGTGTTACATCACAGCAGTGCTCTCACGGCTGTTTCTATGCCATAAAATCTGCTGGAGATCTTCCAAGTGCTTTCCTGAGCACAGCCCAGCCCACCAGCCCCTTCAGCTGGGTGGCCTCAGTCACTCAGCAGTGACARTTGTCCTTCCTCGAGAATACAGCCAGGCCACCGGAGCTGGCAGGTTTCCCGTGTCTCTGGAGTTTGCACTTCACAGAAATCACAGCAGCACATCCAGGCTGCTCCCCGCGCTCTGCTGAGCTTCTCCTGCCCTTCTGCGGGGAGCTCTGCYCTTCTCTGGGAGGTGGAAGGGAAAGAACCAACCCCTTTCATCTGGAACAAACAAACGGGAGTGTGCGCAGGAGCGCTGGCAGAACTGTCGAGCGGGATAATAAACTCACCTCAAAATCCCTTCATGTTGCGCGGGCGATATTTTCCTGCGCTCACCACCCAGGGTGAGGCAGAAGCATCGTTTTTGGGGTGGCAGGGGCAGGGCTGTGGCTCAGGAACACCTCGGAGCAGCGGCAGAGCTGAATCACAGCTCCTGCTCCCGCCGAGCAGCCCCTTTGAAGTGTCTTCGGTCTAATGAGATTTTTGTGGGACACCTTTGTGCACGAGCCCAGGCTCTCTCATTGCACGGGATTTTATTGGCTTCGCTTCTTAAAATAGTTCCTCTTCTCCTTCCCTTTTCCATGACTGTCCCTCTGTGTGTCCTGTTCATTTGTTCACTCAGGGACTGTGGCTCTCAGCGAGCGCTTTTGTCCTGCCTGTCTTGCAGAGATACTGTGCCCTTTGTCTTTCCAGCAGGAAGCAGGTCCTTCATTCCACCTGATTCCTGCTCTCAGGAGGTGCCAGGGAATTTTTATTCAAATGTCACAGATTGGACTCGATCTCAGAGGTCTTTTACAATTGAAGTGATCCTGTGATTCTGTGACGTTGTTATTTGGTGATCCTGTGATCCTGGGATCCTGTGATTCTGTGACGTTGTTATTTGGTGATCCTGTGATTCTGTGATTTTGTGATCCTGATATTTGGTGATCCTGTTATTTGGTGATCCTGTTATTTGGTGATCCTGTGATTCTGTGACCCTGTTATTTAGTGATTCTATGATTCTGTGATCCTGTTATTTGGTGATCCTGTGATTCTGTGATGCTGTTATTTGGTGATCCTGTGATTCTGTGATCCTGATATTTGGTGATCCCGTGATTCAGTGATTCTGTGATCCTGATATTTGGTGATCCTGTGATCCTGTGATCCTGTGATTCTGTGATCCTGATATTTGGTGATCCTGTGATTCAGTGATTCTGTGATCCTGATATTTGGTGATCCTGTTATTTGGTGATCCTGTGATTCAGTGATGCTGTGATCCTGTTATTTGGTGATTCAGTGATTCTGTGATCCTGATATTTGGTGATCCTGATATTTGGTAATCCTGTTATTTGGTGATCCTGTGATTCTGTGACCCTGTTATTTAGTGATTCTGTGATGCTGTGATGCTGTTATTTGGTGATCCTGTGATTCTCTGACGCCGTGTCCCTGTGCTCCACGATCCCCCGATCCTGTGACCCTGTCTGAAGCTCCACAGATGGTTTCCAGGCTGCAGCACCGCTGTTTCCCGGCCCCCATCCCATGGCCACTGTCCCCTGAGGGAGGGACAATCCCTTCCCCTGCCATCCTCGCTGCGGGTGCCAGGGCGGGTGCTGCAGCAGCGTTTCCGTCTCACAAACAGCACTTAAGATAACTGTCGGGAGATCCCATTAATTGTAGGGCTGGTGCAGGGCACAAAGCCACCCCTTCGGCGGCAGCTCCGGGAGCAGCTGCCCGCTCCAGCCGGGGAAAGGATCCCAGCAGCGGCACGGAGCTTTAGCCCAGCTTAAATCCCCTGGAAAACGCTTTACATTAATGCAGCTCCTCTACCGCAGCCAGGAAGCTGAATTTGAGCATTTTAACTCGCCTTTTTCCTTCCCCGTTTCCCATTCATAATCCACTTTGTTTAACTGCTGCCTGACAATTTGTGCCTAGATTAGGCTTCCCTTTTAGAATATCATAGCAGTGCTTATTTTTCATTCTTCACAGAGGATTTAATGTGTTGCTCTAATTTGTACTCTAAGCCTAAAAAGAAGATGCTTTTCACAAGAAAAGCATCATTTCAAAGTGATATTTATCACTGGGAAAAAAATCTATATTGTTTTGACTCTCAAAATGTGGTAGAGATAGGAAGAGATGTAAGACCTTAGCCTGAAGTTGGAAGCTGYGTTTCAGAGTTAATGTTTTGACAACTCTCTTGGGTTTAAAGTTCTCCAGAATTCCCTGCATTTATTAGTTGCCAATGTTACTCATTAACTCTCGATTTTCACTTGCATGGCACAAAAAATCGTTAGCGGAGCTAGAAATCTGCTTTTGTACCCGAAACAAGAATTTGTTTGGGGTCAAGCCCCACTGCCTTTAAGGTTCTGCATCAAAAGCGCCCAAACTCTCCAAGCACCTCGGGCTCAGGGGGTGTTCCTGGCCTTGTTTTGGGTCTCAGCAGGAGCTGAATGGACAGAGAACCACAGGAGAGAGTGAGAGATCAAACCCTCGGGGGTTCGGGCTGAGGGAGCGGCCGGAGCTGTGTCAGGGAGGTTTGGCCGCACATKAAGKRAAGGTTCCTCACCCAGAGGGTGGCCGGGCACTGGCTCGGGCTCTCCAGAGCTCACGGAGCGCTTGGACAAAGCTGTGAGGCGCAGCGGGGATTTTGGGGGATCAGTGCAGAGCCAGCAGCTCTGATGATCGCTGCGTGTCCCGGTCACTCGGTGATCCCCAAACCCGCCCGTTCCCGCTGTCCCTGCCCCGGTGGCACCGCAGGGGCACCTGGCGGAGGTGGGACCGGGCGGGGCCGGGCTGGGCTGGGCTGGAGCCTTCCCCGCCCCTCCGGGGCCGCTCCGGGCCCGTCCCGCCGATCGCGGAGGATGCCCGGCCGGGAGCGCGGCGGCAGCGCGGGGCTCCTCCAGCATGAAGAAACACCAGCAGCACTCGGTGCAGGGCACCTTCAGCCGCCTCTTCGGGAAGCGCCACTCCAGCCCCACCGCCACCTCCCTGTTCGCCACCAACCCGCCCTGGATCTTCACGCAGGAGGTGACCTCGGACAGCGCGGGTGGCACCGGTCAGTGTGACACCGTGAGGAGTCGGGGACGGGGTGGTCCGGGGGGAGAAGGGTGGGATGAATCGGGGGAGAAGGGTGGGATGAGTCGGGGGAGAAGGGTGGGATTGATCGGGGGGAGAAGGGTGGAAAGGGTCGAGGGCTCCGGGAGCGCTCGCTGGGACCGGCGCGCAGCAGCGCAACTCCCGAACTGTGCCCAAGCCGAGCCTCCGCACCCCTGCCGGGACCGGCTCGATGCTCTCAGGAGGTTAAACTCGGCCTAAAAGAGGCTAAAAGTGSCTGCGAATGTGTTTTATTGCTTTCCCGTCGCGCTTTCCCACGCCATGTTTGAGCTGCGCCTTCCCAGGTTTGGGTTATTTACTCATAAACCTGTTTCTCGCAGGGCTGCGAGCGAGGAGGGAGCTGAGGGTTGCATATTCCTCGGCGTTTATTTGTGTTTCTTTGTGGTTTTAATTGCAATGCGGTGCCCTGGAGGCTCATGTAGGAGGGAGCCAAATTAATAGTAATGGAGCCAGGTGGATAGAAGATAGCAGTTTGTGGATGGAGTTTGGTGGCTGTAAGAGCCCAGCAAACTCTTCCAAGATTAAAAAAAA